ATGGTTTGGTTTGGTTTTTTTTTTTTTACTTTTTATTATGATGTGTGTGAAAGTATACAGAGCGAAATGGTTTTCCAGTCAACAAATCATACACATTCTGATTTCCTGAAATTAATTGCAGTCCCCACAATGTAACAGCACTTTCTCCATTTCCTCCTTGTGTGTACTGTTTCCATTCTTCCTTCTTTCCTGTCCCTTCCTGGCTTCTGAGCTTTGTTCCTGGGCAGTGCTGCCCTTTTGATCTCATATGGCTGGTTGTTCTAGGGAGTGTATGCATCCTTCCCTGGTGTTAATTGGTCACTTTATTGGCCTTTCTATTGTTTGGCTAAAAGTTGAGCCATGGGCTGAGTTTGGTTCCACCAGTCTCTATTATGGTTTTGAGTTTTAATCCACATTTTTCTCATACTCTATGCTAGACTACCTACTGTGATCCCTTTCAGAGGGGTCAGTAGTGATAGCTGAGTACCATTTAGTTCTTCTGGTCTCAGGGTCGTGGAGGCTGGAATTTGCATAGTCCTTTAGTCCTTTGGACTAATTGTTTCCATGCATCTTTGATTTTCTTCACTCTTTCTTGCTTCAGACAAGAAGAAACCAATAGTTACACCTCAGGTGCTGCTCACAAGCTTTTAAGACACCCAGTTGCTACTCAGCAAAGTAGGATGTGGAAGATTGTCTTTGTGGACTGTTATTCCAATTGACCTTGATATCCCCTGAGACTATGGTATTGATCCTCCAGGCCCAGCGACTCATTCCCTCAGGGTATTTGGTTATCAAGTCGGATCCTACTCATAGTGATTCCTTGGGTTTCCGAGGCAGTATCACTACTGAAGTAGATTGCCCAAAACATGGGTATACAGGTGGATAGGTGGGCGGACAGGCTGAACTAGTAGGTATATCTATGAAGCAGGGAGTGTACCCAAGACCAGGTATAGGATTGACAGTGGTCCTATAAATTTATTTGTGTGATCTCAATTCCCAGGTGTATAGTAGAGCTGACAAGGGGCAAGGTTATAGTCACTTCTTGGTCACAGCCAGCTGCCCAGAGGGACCAAGTAGTTGAACCTGTGGGCTTGGGACCATAGTCACAGGGGACATCAAGCTCAAGTGGCATAACATACTACACAAAACATGTTCCACCTCCTACTTTGGTGAGTAGTGACTGAGATCTTAAAAGCTTTTAAGCAGCCATCTAGATGCAACAATGGGTCTCTCCTCGTCCAGAGCAAAGAAGAATGAAGAAAACCAAAGATTCATGGAAATAATTAGTCCTCGCAACTGGTACACCATGCAATCCTCAGCCTATACAACTATGAGACCAGAAGAACTAGGTGGTGCCCGCCTACCACTGTCAACCACTTGGAGGGAGATCTATGTCGGAGATCCTTGATAGAGAGGGAGAACAATGTGGAACAAAACTCAAAATCATTTGGAGAAAAAAAAGCGGGGGAGGACCAGGTTTGCTGGTCCAATAAAGCCTGGTGGAACCACTGAAACTATGGCCCCTAACTGCCCTTCAGGTCTGGAATTGAACCCATACCTGTGGCTTCCACCAAACAGAAGATAGGCGTATGAGTTGAACATTTCCCTGAGGTAGATATACTCCTTGGAGAGAACAATCATGAGAGAAAGAAGGACTGTTTATGCACAGGGAGACAGCTCAGTGCATGGAGTGATGGACACAGGGAAGAATTAACTATTGGGAGGAAGTGGGAGGGGAGTTGTTGCATTGTGGTAAATTGTGGTCAATGTCATGAGACAAAGTGTATCTGAAGTGCTGTATGGAAAGTGAAATTGCTCTGTAAATTTTCACCCAAATCACAATTTAAAAAAAAGAAGAAGAAGAAAAAGTAGATTGCCCAACCTTCCTTCTGGGAAGTGGGTGGTGAGTTTGAACCACCAGCCTTCTAGTTAGTCAAATGCCTTAGACAATAAGCCACAAGAGCTTCCTGTTTGGTTGTAGCTATAAGGACTTTTCATAACTTCATCCCTCTGTGTGCTTTACTATATTCACAGATATATTTGCAACACCTGTCAGTCCTATATACATATATTCATGGGAATAGGCCCATTTTCCTTCCCACTCCTGTTCAGCTTACATGTCTGTCTATGCATCCACTTGTAGATTATTGTTGTTATTGCAGGATTGTGTGCATAATAGTATTTACCTTTGCTGCCTTTAACTCTAGATGAATGTTTTAATGAGACTCCTTTTTTGTAATGAATATATGGGCAAGGAGTTCACTTAAAAGGCCTTGACTAGGAATCCTGTGTGTGAATTCAGTCAACTCTTTAAAAAATAGTCTGTTGTCAAGAGCAATAATTTTGATCCAAAATTTCTTCCATTTGAAGATATATTTTAGGAACTTAATACATATATAGAAAAGCTAAAGGAAGCAGATAAGTGTCCTATAAAGCTACTGGATTATATGTTTTTAGAATTGGAAGTGACTTTGGGTTATGACATGAATAAAAATGACTATATTTTGAACATATTATACTGATGAAGAATGTATGTTGTTGAAAGTCTGGTTACTCCAGTGAAGATCCTGTGCAGGTTGTGGAAATAGGAGTTGGTTATTTTCATTCCCAGAGAAAGAAAGTGACATACATTATAAGCCAAAATCAATTTTTCTTGAATTAAATGAGTCTACATAGAATCCTTTCAGCAGATCTAGATAACCACCCTCCCTTCCTTTCCTGGAAGGAAAGTCAGAAAAGCTACTTTTTTAAAGTCTGTCTTTTTAAAGTTGCCTTATTAGAGTAATTAGGAGAGTAAATAAAGAGAACTTAGAACAAACACTAATTTGGTAATCTTGTCTATAAATTTTAGGTGAAGAATCAGTTTCATTCCTGCCAATTTGATAGGTTGGATAAGTTTCTTCTTACAGTTAACACTTTCATGAGCATTTAAAATATAACTCCTTGCTGTCGTTTTTAGGAAATAGGAGATCTTTCCTAATTGCTGCTAGAATGTTCTATGCTTGAAGAGGGCATCAGGTGATAACACCTGACAATGGGAAGAGAAGATGTTTTGGGGATGCCATCTGCCAGAATTATGGCCAACAGGAATGAAAAGTCAGAAAACATCTTTCCTGATGTTTTTATTTTCCATATACTCTTAAGGCAAGGAAATAGCTTTTTTGTGTGTGTTACCAAACTCAATGATAAAAGGGTATGTCAGCTTTTTCTTCACTACTCAGAAACCCCTTATCTCTGTAGAATATATTCGATAAGAAAATGAGTAAATCCTTTTCCTGCTGAATTTGGTGTTTTAGGAGTAAAATAGGGTCAGCATCATTGCCTCTTGGTACAGAGCATTAGAGAGAAATAAAGTAGCTGAGTTCTGTAAACATCAAAATAGAATGATTAGAATTATTTCAGTATGTCAGAAGCTACTGACCTTGGCCCTCTTTTTGCATTCAAAAAAGAATACATACATTAACAACAGATTTGAACAAAAGAAATTATACCATTGAGATTTGCCCTCATAATCTGTTACATCCCAGGTTATCACTGAAGAAATGACTTAGATGAGATTCTTAACTGTCACTGAGAAGAATTTGATATCTTAGTAGAAGTATGCTGTGTTTTCTGTAAGTTTGTAGCCAGCCTCATGTGGGGCAAGTACTAAAGTACTTTCAACTAAAAATGAAATTAATTCATTATATCTGAATGTTCTGGTTACTCTGACAGGATTATACCACAAGTGCAATGGCTTGAACAAGCAAGAGTTTATTCTCTTACAGTTCGGGAGGCTAGAAGTCCCGAGTTCAAAGTGACAGTCTCTGTGGACTGTGTAAAAGCCCCTCAACCTTGGGCTTCAGCTCTGCCTCCTGCTTCTGCCCACTGAAGCTAGTGGCATCTCTTCACTCAAGCTGCTAGCTGCTGAGGCTAACTGGCACAAGGTCGACAAATAAGATGGCACGGTCCCATTGTTAACAAACCACACAGCAGGCCATTAATTTAAATCCATTGAACATCCCAAGGTTGGCAGAGTGTGGCAGGCTGCTGAACAATGACATGGCTACATGCAGAGTTCAAGTATGCCATAAGCTAGAGACCATTTTCCAAGGCTTCTCCTTATATATGGGAAGCAGACCACATCCCTAAGGCAGTAGATTCCACCATGTAATTGATTACCAGTCTCATAGGGAATACTACATCCAGCTGCCCAGCCACTCAACCAGGCCCAGCCAAGTTGACACACTTAACTACCACACTGAATGTGGTACCTGCCATCAAGAAAGCATTGATTGTTGGATTTCATGGTTGTCATTTCTGAGTGTTCATTAGTGTACTTCCTTTGGAATTTTGAATGCTGTTCACCCCTGAACATAAGCTTCTAAAAATCCAACTTTATGGACTTGGAAATGTTCTTCGTCTAGGATTTGGAAGACCTGAGTTCTAATTCCATTCTCATTACTCACTAGCCAGGGACTTTGGGCAAATCACGTCACCTGTCAGGGCCAACTTCATTACCAGTTGAGGCATAAACTCATTGCTGTCGAGTCAGATCCGACTCAGAGTGACCCCTCCTTGGGTTTCCGAGGTGGTATTACTATGGAAGTAGATTGCCCAGTCTTCTTCCGAGGAGTGGGTGGTGGGTTTCAACCGCCAGCCTTCTGGTTAGCAGTCAAATGCCTTAAGCACTATGCTGCCAGGGCTCCCAGTAGAGGGATAGAGAGTCATATTAACTCTTAAATCATTACTGTGAAACTTTGAACAATGGGGTTTATATTCTGATATGGGAGACCAAAATACCATTGTACGTTTATCTTCTATAGTTATTTCTGGTTTTTTATTTTTTAGTGACCTGAACTCTGTTTAAATTTCTTTAAATCTTGATAGATCACTAAGACTAGGTAGAACAAAATTTCTAGGCACTACAGTTTAAAATAGGTTCTTAATTTTTTTTTTTTTTTTTTTTCTTCTTGGCATCTCATGTTCTCCCAACCCTTTGCTTTTATCATCTGCTAATTCATACATTTTTTTCTTTCTAGTACTCTTGTCCATCTGTTCTCTGTTGTGTGATCCCAATCCAGATGATCCTTTAGTGCCTGAGATTGCTCGGATCTACAAAACAGATAGAGAAAAGTAAGTGTGACCTCCAGACAGAAAGATGGCTATGGTGGTTGGGTGGGGATTTTTATGTCTCAAGTCTTAAATTAAGATGGGCCAGGTATTTGAAATGAAGCTCTTAAATACTCTCCCAGAGAGAGGAAAGATAAGAACTCTGGTGGCATGATGATTAAAGCATTCAGCTACAAGCTAAAAGGTCAACAGCTCGAACCCACCAGCCCCTTCTGTGGGAAAAAGATGAGTCTGTTTGCTTCCGTAAAGATTTACAGCCTTGGGAACTCTAAAGAGTGGTTTTACTCTCTCCCTAGTAGACTCCTAGGAGCTCTGGTAGTGTAGTGCCTAAGGTACTTGACTGCTCACCAGAAGGCTGACGGTTCAAACCCACCAGCCACTCCTCAGAAGGAAGGTTGGGCAATCTACTTCCATAGTGATACCGCCTCGGAAACCCAAGGAGGGGTTGCTATGAGTCAGGTCTGATTCCACGGCACATAACAACAGCAACAACGACAGATTCCTAACAGGTCACTATGAGTTGCAGTCGACTTGATGACAGTGGGTTTGATTTTGGGAGTTTTTTCGGAACAGGAAGGAAGAGTATTTGCACCAGATACTACAAGTAGACAATGCTGATCTTATCCCTAATTGTTTCATATGATTCTTCCTGTCTATAAAAACTTTTCTGTAGTACATTTCCCAGTAGGTTTGTGTCTTATGCTCAACTTTTGACATAAAGCACTTTTCATTAAGAGCTCATATGTCTTTAGGTATTTGTAAATTAATGGGAGAAGGGAATTTATTTTCTATCATGTGGCAGAATCTAAAGGAAGAACATGAATAAATTTTACGATAAATAAAGAAGCCCAAAATTTTTAAAACAAAACTTTACACAGTATTTAGTCATTTGAGAATTGTACTATGAATTACTGCCGTACAGTCAGGATATCAAGAGGTAGTAACTAAAAGTGTTCTATCCTTTTTTGTTTTGCGTATTATTCAGTGAGATTGTTAGAGGAACAGAATGGGAGAGATTAGTTTTCTAAAGTTAAAATACAAGTATTAAAGAATAACTTGAAATCTTTTGGGTTAGAGAGTAATACATAGGTTTTTGTTGTTTTTTTTTTTTAAGTAGAGCTGCGCTGAGAGGTTGGGATACTAACAGCAGTTGGTTCTTAATTTAGTTTTGTCTGTGTTTAGATCTGAATAGTATCTATACTCATGCATTTATTTCTGGCTGCATTCAAAATAAAATTAGATTATATTTTTTACTGACTATTTTTGAGTTCTAATAGAAGAATTGTGGAAACTTTTGCTCTACTTGTCTTACTACTGGAACATTGTTCTGGAACAGTAAACTCCCATCTGTTTCATCAACCAAATTGTTCTACCAGAACCAGTGCTTTATTGACATATAGAGGAAAATATTATGTCATTTTAATCCCTATTGGTATATGGTTTCAGGAACTATATAATATAGAGTTACATAGTTTCAAGAACTCCAAATAAATGAATCAAAGCTAAAAAACCTTTCACATTTTATGTTTCTTTTCCACTAATTTGAATAAATGGTATTAGAAAGTTGAGCTAGAAAGGTAACTTTGCTTGACTATTCTAAGTAATACCTTCAAGTTACTAGATGGGATAATGAATGAAATCTGTTGCTGACCAACTGACACCTCACCTATGTTAAGCCAAGCCTCTCTTTGTGTGTACAGGTACAACAGAATAGCTCGGGAATGGACGCAGAAGTATGCGATGTAATTAAAGAAATTATTGGATAACCTCTACAAATAAAGATAGGGGAACTCTGAAAGAGAAAGTCCTTTTGATTTCCATTTGACTGCTTTCTATGAGCCCACGCCTCATCTTCCCCTGTGCACATGTTTACCTGATACAGCAGTGCTACGTGTTGTACATACTTGGAACAACAAACTAGAAATACTGTACTCCTGTACCAACATTGCCTCCTAGCAGAGAAGTGTGTGTGTGACAAGCCAGTTCTCCAGGCGTAACCTAGGTGTGAGACTAAAAGCTTTCCTTACTGACGTATTTGGATAACGGCAAGGTGAGGGGTGGTAGGTATGGTGTGTGCTTGGATGGGAAAAAACAGCACCACTGACATGTAGGAGAATGTTTTTAAGTGGAATCCTTTTAAACTTTAAAACAGTTATGAAAAGGAAGGTGAAGAACATGAAACTATTTCTGTATTCATTTTATTCTGAAGGACTTACATCTTAGGTGACAGTTATGACCAACCAGATTAAACTCTACCCGCACATCCTGTATTTTAAGGTCTAAGTTTAACTGGTAAACGTTTAAATGGATTGGAGCTATTAGTATGGCTTTTTCCCCAACTCTTTTACGTCTTCCCACCCCTTCAACCTTTGTCTACTCAGCCTCTCTTTTTCTCTTCCATATTCTTTGGTTTGTATGTGGTTTCTCAGTTAATACATAGCTAATAGCTCTTATTTTTCTTATATTTTTAACCGCTTAGGTCTATCTGGATGTAAGGGTGAAAATACATTTGATGGAAATACTTGTGTATATTTAAAGACCCAGTCGCTCCTCTGGAGCTTGTACGTTCAAGAATGATTAATCTGTGTAATAAACTGATTACTACAGTCATTACATATACCTTTGTGTGAATAGGCTTTTTGATTTTAAGAATTTTGTCTAGCTCAGATTAGTGGTGGATTTTCCCCCACTTCTGAAATGTTTTCAAATATATTGGTTGCATTTTAAAATCATGAAACAATTCCAGTTTACATAGTAAAAGAAATATCTTGAGGCTGATATTACTGAACAAGATAGGGGCATAAGCTTAAAAGCATTTCTATAAAACTTTAGATGAATAGCATTCCAAGAACATGACTGTTAAACTAAATAAGAAATTTGCTTTATTAATGAAACTAAGCTGAATTTCACCAAAACCTTGTGACATTCCCTTGGTACATAGGACATAGAACACAAAGGTATTGCTAAATGGTAAGTTAAGCCTCTGTGATTGTAATTGTAAAAGAGCAACATTGACCAAACCTGGGAAACATGAGCACAATCTCATATTGGACAGTCTACATAATTACTTTGCACTAACATTTGCAGGATGTTCATCCAATTTTAAATTGTACTGTATGTGGCTTTTTTGAAGTCTTCCCTTGACTCTAGTAAAATGTAGTTTGAAACTTGTAAACAAATGTGTTTGCCAAAAAAACATTGTTCGTGTGAACTAGGCAAGTTACCTTTTTTCCTCCCCTTCTCCTAATCTAATTGTAAACCAGGCCAGCCCAAAGGCCATGGCTGATGCTCTCTAGCTATCAGGTTCTTTCAAATGCATCTTTACACTCTTGCACAAAAAATGAGGAATAAATGTCCACTGCTTTTGGTTTTAAACTTGTTCAACTTGTCTCATCTCTCAGTGTCACTGCTCTTTGATCTCAAAACTAAAGTGTGGAATAACTTGAAAACTCTTAAGCACTTCATTTTAGCTGATTGTAGTTTATTAGCATTTCCACCATCTTTGACCTTACAGAAAAGTTTTGATTGTTAACAGTTGTGGGGAAAGGAGTAAAAATTGAACTCTAACCTAAAATCATCCTGTATTCTTGGTTTCATGGGCAGATGGGAGAATTCTTCAGTTTTGGGTTTGCTATACTGTTGACTATGGGTCAGGTACACAGATCCTGAATGACCATCCTTTATTTGCCTCTCATCTTAGGGAGCAGCCAGCCTACTACCAGTTACTAGATCCTAATGTAAATATTTTCATACATGTGTTCTTAAGAATTTTTAAATGCTAAAAATGAGTCATCACCCTGCTTCACAGGAGCCAAGTGAAAGACTTTGAAAGGTCACAAACAACATTAGGCCCTTGAAATACAGTTTTGTCTTTCCCGTTTGGATATGGGAATGTTTGGTCCAGTCTGTATACATGTGCAGAATGAAGTTCAGTGAGGGAGGCCACCTTCCTCACTCACCAAAAAAAAAGTCACTTAGGGCAGTTCTCACCTGGGATCACTTTGCTCTTTACAGGAGTGTCTTTGGCTTTGTCACATGTAAAAGCTAGTCTGTAGCAACCTTGATTATGTTGGTGAGGCCGTGGTTACAAGAGAATCCCAAGTGTACAGGTACTCTTACTTTGCTTCTTAATAGCATAGAATACTTTGCCAAGTTATAGTTGGGAAGTCTCTCTTGGTAAGACAAAATTATTTTAGATACTTGCATGCCCTGTTGCTGGCCATTGATCAGAATAGCATTGTCCTGGCAATTTCTATGTTTTGGGTACAAGACTTGGCAGGAGGGCTGTTTCAGGGGCAGGGTATGGCAAGGAGGTCTGTAGAGAGAAGGAAAAGGTGGTGGTCAGAGGGAGACCCGTGTTCTCTGCACTGCCATAGCAATAGAGGTAGGTATTCCTTTTCCACTTCCGACTGCTATAGAATTATACTCTTTGAGTCATTCTTCTTTGCATCATAACTTATTTTGAGCCCTAGGTAGATTGTCAGGAGAAATGTGGTATTTCTGAATTATAGTTGGGATGCCTATAAACTATCCCAATTAAAGAGAAAATCTGGTGGTGGCTGGGTTTGGTTTTTTTTTTTGTCTCAGTCTGCTGTATAAACTCACTGCCATGGTGTCAGTTCCTACTCATAGTGACCCACATTGGATTTCCAAGGCAGTAAATCTTTGCAGAAGTATATTGCCTCATCATCCTCAGTCTGCTGTATGGTACCTTTTAATACCCAGTAGATAGATTTTAATAGAAGAACTTTGTTTAGTTCTAGATCTTCTGAGTTACAAACACATCTTTTCTCTCTTTTGAATGAGGAATAAGCATCTTTATTACTCTGCCACAAATTGTCATGAGTGTTAAAGTCCCATCTCATTTTGATTCCTTTTTTCCCCTGAAACATTCTTTATTTCAAGTGATGGATTATTGTGGTGGGTGTAATGTTATACAAAAGAAAACAGACATGAAAATAAATATTAAGGTAACAAACTATCTGGGCTGTTTAGCTGGGGGGGGGGGCACTTGTAGAGCCTGTTCCCTATTTTTCCTTACATTGTATGTGCACTGAGATGAAAAAGCTCTGTCTGAGCTCTCTGTACCCCCACAAAAGCCTTCCTTAAAAGCCTTTCTCTAATAATCTAACCTGAGTTAGCCAAGGCTGGTGTAAGTGGTTGGTATTCAGGTCCCACTGAATATTTACAGATAATTCCTGGGGTGGGCTTAGAAATAGGAAAACTGGCTAGGGGATTACTAGATTTATTCCTTTGTTGTGCTTAATATTCATGAAATAAATATGTTTCGCCATTATTGTCATATATTACCTTAGTCATTATAAGTGGGAAAGCTCAAAGGTTAAGAATTACTGAAGTCTCTGAGGCCACTGACCTCAGTGGCTAAATATGTAATACAGTTACCAACCAGCTTTGCTCTTTCTCAGTGACTACTCGTGGACTGGTTGAGCAGAGCTAAACATTTTTGTGATGACTGATCACTTCGTTTTTTAATTATTTGTGGAGCTGCATCATTAGCAAGATGCAAAACTAAATGAACACCTAGTGCAAAGATAGCAGCTTAATCTTTTTCAGTTGAGTGGGTTTTCTGTTTGTTTTTCTTTTGTTTGAAAATGGGAAGTATAAGATATTACTGGTAGAGTGGCCTTTTCTAGATCTGAAGCACCTGATCATCCCTAGTGTACTGTGAAAGCAAATGGTTGGTCACCTTTGGAAAAGCCAGGGAGAAGCCAATGAGTTTCCAGACCAGAGCTCTAGTGCCACCAGCCTTGGTTACTGTGCTCATTTTCAAACTTATAAGGATTTGAGGGGTGACACCTGCTGTTTTCTCAGGCACCTCTCTCCCTCCCCTAAGTCACTTGTTTCAAGAGTTCTATTTGAGCTTCTTCCTGATTAACTTTTTTATCTTAAGTAGTTACCGCCCCTCCCCCCGCCCCTTGTAGGGCTGCTGGAGAACATGAGTGAGTGGGGCTCATGGTTTAGCTTTGCTGACCTCAAGACTATCTGCACCCCAAATTGCCCGTTTTCTCAGGTTTAAAGTTCTCCGTAGGAAATGTGGGTAGCTTTGGAGCTCCTTCTTGAGCCTTCTAAAAATAGCCCACAAATATAATATTTGGTTCCAGAACCAACACCACCTAAGGGGTGAGAGAGATGTCACATGTTGGAGATAGCTGACAAAAGCTAGGCTACATACCTGACAGCTGGGCTGTCTGGCACTTTCCCCAGCTAATTAAGGCAATATTAAGTCCTTCTGGTCAGTCTTCCTCCAGCAGCATTGGTGCCATGTTTGAAGACTTTTGTCACCTGCAGAGTAATGCACCAAGAGTTGTGGGCTGCTGGCCTTACTTCAGAAGGCACCCAAGGCTGCTAGTAACCTATGGAGTGACAGAAAGAACCAGAGAAATCAAGGCTTTCCCAGACGCTCCAGAAGAGTTGAACTTTTTGGAAAGAAGTCTCCAGTTTATTTCAGCCTTATGCTAGTCTCTTGGAATATCCAACCTTCCTTTGGAGGGGGTAAGAGCAGTGCATAAGAGAAGGTAGGGAAAGGGGCAGGACATTTTATCATTGTTTGGGTGAAAGTTTACAGAGCACATTGGTTTTCCAGTTAACTCATACACATTTTGATTCATGACATTGATTGCAAGCCCCACAGTATAATAGCACTCTTCCCACTTCCTTGTGTTTACTTTTTCCATTCGTCCTTCTTTACTATCCCTTCCTGTTGAGTTTTATCCCTGAGCAAATGGCTTCCCTTTTGATCTCATGTGAATGGTTGTTCTCAAGACTGTAGCTCCCTGGTGTTATTGTTCACCTTACAAGCCTGTCTATTGTTTGGCTGAAACATGAGCCACAGGGGTAAGTTCAGTTCCAGGCTTGGAGGGTGTCTAAGGGTTATAGTCTCAGGGGTTCCACCAGTTTTTATCAGACCAGTAAGCCTGGTTATTCTATGATTTTGAGCTTTGTTCCCCATTTTTCTCACACTCTACCCAGCACCATCTATTGTGATCTGAAAGGACACTCACTTCCTGTTGTAATTTCAGTTGTGTATGTTGGGGAGGAAGAGAGTTCTTTTGTGATTTCCCCCCAACACACTTTCTGGGTTGGTCCCTACTCAGCCTGCTCCATGCCAGTCAGGGATGACTAAGGTGACAGAGCTGGGTGGGGTAAGGTTTCAGTCGGTAAAGGAAGAGGACTGAAGTGCAGTTGCCTAGATGGGGAAAGTATGATGGTAGCTGTTGTCTGAGTGTGTGCTAGTGTCTGAGTGGCCAGTAGAGGGCAATGGCAACACACTGCTGTAAAAACTGAAGCCTGTGGTCAGTGAATTGCAAGGACAGAACCTGAGAGGCTTTTGTTAGAATGGGAATGCCTGCCTGGTTGGGGCTTAGCTGTGTTCAGTTTGTCTGGCTCCGGATGGGCCAGTGGCTAATTCAGCCATACTTAGAGTGAAGGAACAGGTTTGTTGTTGTTGTTATGTGCCGTGCCGTCAAGTCAGCCCTGACTCATAGCGACCCCTCCTTGGGTTTCCGAGGCAGTATCACTACGGAAGTAGGATTGCCCAACCGCCAGCCTTCTGGTTAGCAGTCAAGTGCCTTAACCACTATGCTACCAGAGCTCCCAAGGAACAGGTTAGTGACTTGTATTCCAGAAGTGTCAAGCCACCAGCTCCCCTCCCCTCCTCATTGCTATAATAGCCATCTCCCTGTGTGTGGACAGGTTCAATAGGGTCCAAGGCAGGGCCTTTGCCCACCTGGCTGCAGATTGCATGGGGACAAAGGTCTGTCCTTTGCTGCATCTCTCTGCCTGGTGCCCACTAATGTATTTCCCCATAGGCAGGTGAACCCTGTGCCTCCAGCCAACTAGCGCAGTCTCCCTTGTCTGGCCCCCTCCCCCTTTTCTGGATAACCAGCATACCTTGTCACAGTGACCCTTTAGGGCCTGGGAAATATTTTTTCCTTGCCCTTTTCAATCTGCCCTGTGTTTTGGGGCCCCAGGCTCCCTAATCTTACAGCCCAACAGCTGTGAACCTCCAGGGCCACCACCCGGAAGCCAGCTGCCTCTTCATGGGGAATTCTTTGAAATTCCAGGCTTGGCCATCTGGGTATGCAAATATCTCCAAATTTGCTGAGCCTACCAAGTGGCTGCACCCTAGGCAGAACTGTAAGAATTAACCTCTACTACAACTCGACACTGGACACTCGACACATAACAACAACAACAACCCCTAGATGAGAAAAGCTGCCTAGGAGCTGTTAGTGCTGGGAACCCAAGCTTTCCCCTACTTGTTGTTTTGTGACCTTGAGTCGTACCCCTACTAGGAGAGTCTAAAAGGGAGGTCTCATGGATCTCCAGGTCCTGCTCTAGTTCCTAACCATGTG